AGCACTAATCACCCAAAAAAAAATTACCCCCCCCTCCCCCCCGGGGGGTGAAAATGGATCTAACTCTTTGAACGAACAATAGGGTTGTGAAGCAGAAAGCCCATTTTTATTGTACAAAAATGGGTTTAAAATTTGGGGCAGTTTTGCCGTTGGCGGGAAAAACTGAAACTTTTAAATTTTCACGGGAAAAGCACTAATCACCCCAAAAAATTTCCCCGGCCAGCCGGCGTGTAAAGGGAAATTTAACTCTTTGAACGTACAAAATTTGGTTTTTAACAAAAAGTCAGTTTATTTAGCAAAAAACGGCCCAATTTGCAGCTTTGCCGTTGGCTGGAAACTGTACTTTTAAGTCCCCCGGGAAATTTCACTAATAAACCCAAAAAATTTTAAACCGCCCCCCGGGCGTGAAAATGGATCAAACTCTTTAAACCGACAATAGTGGTTGGGAAAGGCAGAAAGTCAGTTTTATTGTACAAAAACGGCCCCAATTGCAGTTTGCCTTTGGCGGGAAACTGAACTTTTGGGTTTTCATGGAATGCACAAAAACCCAAAAAATATTCCCGGGCCCAACCCCGGCGGTAAATGGTTTTAAAAACCCTTTGAACGAAACCAATAAGGGGTTGTGAAGCAAAAAAGTCGTTTTATTTTGCACATTCGACAAACTGCAGCCCCAACTGTGCACGACAGCCACCCAAAAAAAAAAAAGGGTGTATGTCACTTTAAATTTTCGATTCTTTGATAGGTGTGGCCCATGAGTAACGATTCTGTGTCCCTGAGTAAACGATTCTGTGTCCCTGAGTAACGATTCTGTGGCCCTAAAGTCTCTGTGGCCCTAACTCTGTCCCCTTAATACAGACAGGTCTGTCTCTCTTGAATGACCGGAGGCTAATGGAGAATTCTAAGATGGCCGCGATTTATAGCTCCCACCATTACACAGTGCTGGCTGGCTGCTGATTTTGGCTAATGCGATAACATGTCATGAATGCATTATGGGTCAGCGCGCCTTGTCTGCGCGCCTTCCCAGAGATCCCGCCCCATCTTCTCCGTCCATTTTCTCCGTCACCACACATGTCGCCGCCCATTTTTGGGGGTAAAATTTTGATTCGTGCATCCGAAGTTTGCTAATCTTCGGATTCGTCGCGAATAGAATTTTTTCCAAATCTTCGGAACGAATTCCACTTCGTCATGTTCGATTCGCTCATCTCTACATATATTACAATTATACCTATAGAGGGGAAAGATTGGTCCCAAAGTTCTAGTTATAGACCTATATCACTATTAATCATAGATACAAAATTATATGCAAAGGTCCTAGCACTTAGGATGTAAGAGTTGATGTTGGATTGGATACACTTAGACCAAATGGGATTCATTCCAGGTAGAGAAGCAAGGCAAAATGAATTAAGATCATTGCTCCGACTCACCTGCAAAAGAGTAAGAGAGAGAAATTTCCAGTGTTAATCCTGTCGGTAGATGCTGAAAAAGCTTGTATGATAGCTTCTTTTGCTCCCTTCGTATTTCTTCCACCTGCGCTTCTAGTGTTATAATTACTTGGGCATATTTCTCTAGATTTTCCTCAGTTTCTTCAACTCGTGATAAAACTTGTCCCAGGTCATTATGTAATACACAACCATTTCATCCTTTATGGATTGCTCTAATTTCACAAACATTTCTGCAATTTCCGTTTTTGTGGGCATTTGCGGACTTGTTCCTTGTTCTCCTGTGTTTTCTATTTCACTTTCCATATTTATAGATTCTTTATCTGGTTCATATTCGATATGCCTAATGACATTCTAGTTTGATCTGCATTGTTATTTCCCAGCTCGTGTCTTCCCCTTACTCCCTGCTTTCTCTCAGGGGTTTGACCCTCTGGGCTTTTCTTCTGTGGAGGCATATATTTTCGTATTGTACTTGATTGAGGTGTTTTTTTCCTCTCCCTTTTACAGATCTGCTCTTCATGTCATTGATATTATACTTCTAGTTTTATAACTCAAAACAGAATGTTGTTTCCAGAGTTACAATAGGTAAATTTAAGCTGCAGTGCAGATATTGTTCTCTTCTTATCTGAGGTATATTACAAGGTATATTAAGACGATTTTAATCTCCTCATCATGTACCCCGTCCAATTGTCCTTTTTGGGACTCCTTATCCAACTTAAACTTTTTCCTTTTTCGGTTTCTTCCCTTTTTCTCCCTCCTTTGATATATTTATTTGTTAGCCTGTAAGCCGTGTACCGGGGTGGGCTCCCCAGGATACAATGAAGTCACGAACGAGAAAAGCAACCCCAACACCAGCTTTTGCCTCAACAGAATTTTACTTAGATGTGGCAAATAAACACAATCACAAATGCTGAGAACATACAATAAATTTACATACACCCAGCCCAAAGGCTGAGACCCTTGTGCTGCACAGCACGGCGCCTTCTGATGGATGAAGGTAGAAAGTGAAGTAATTTACCTACTGGTGGGCACAACTAAGCTGCCACACCTTACCTGTTATTACCCTAAAAGAGCAGGAATCAGTGTATGGGGTGTATGGTATGGGCTAGCCTGCGGTGCTGCACAACAGCTTACAATCTTACACAAATCTATAGTATTCCCCCTCCCATAACTGGTCCTGTAGCACGTGCCTGAGTATTCCTTCTGAGCAAAACACCAGTCTGGCTTGAGTTTGTAGGATTTTATCAGCTCTCCAATGTGAAATGTTACTTTAAGTTGTGGAGTCCTTCCAATGATCAGTAACAACACTTGTGGCCTGACACAAACAGAGACCCTAACTAACTAACTAACTATAGGCCTGGACTCAGTCTCAAGGCGCCAACACTGAAATGAGGTGCGTGCACGATCTTACCGACCTGGGTCTGCTTTGCATCCGCTGGTGACTCTGAACAGAACAAATGTCTCTTCAACAAGCATGCGGTCTCGCCGTATATGTTGCTTAGTTCCTGTGCTCTCATCAGCATTCCTGGCAGCAATCTCATCAGCTTCCTGGCAGAAATCTCATCAGCTTCACTTAGCTGCAGCTCTGGTTACAGAGGGATGCATTCACACCTGTATTTCATCAGATTCTCAACTCACAGGGCCCCTTATTCACCATGCTCCAAAAACATGGCTGCTCTCTATCTCTCTGTGTGAAAAACTCCACCTCTTCATGAATATAGAAATATCTATGCTGTAATTTACTCCACACAAGCAGTATTCAAACAATGAGAGCTGTTTCCCCATCTCACAAGCCTGCGGATCAAAAATAGAAAACTCTCTCTCTCCTTTTTTTCTGGACCCACTGGATGACCCCTCCTTTCTTTTCTTGATTTTTTTCCCTTGGTCTTTACAGTCCCAAAGACCACCTAAGAAGATCACCTGAAGGGTTATTTTACATCAACTCCCCTTAAATACACTTAATGCAGGCCATAGAGATTCACCGCTTTCTGCGGCAACTCATCTTTACCGCCCGCATCCAGTGTGTGGAACCACTCATTCCCCTCTCGATCCTCCTCTCCAGCCAGGGCTGCCACTGCTGGGGCGGGTCACAAGGGGTCACAGGTCACAGATACCGCAGCTCCAATTCTCCGTGTCGGCTTCCTCCTCACCACAGCAGCGTCTCCCAGGATTCCCCACCTCTGTCACGTGAGCGCTCCCAGTGCCCACTGCTCCACCGTGCTGGCACCCTCCTCCTGTCCAGCTGAGGGAACGAACTCCTCCACACCGCACCACACAAGGGGCACACAGCATGACAAGGTAGGGCAAAATTCAAGTGCTTCTGTCCATTATTTTCGGTGGGCGTCAGGAGTTCCTACTACATTCATCCTGCCAGCGCCATGTTCAGTCCCCTCCCCCCTGAGGGACATCCTTAACAAAAACTGCCTTGAGATTGTGTCCCTCCAGTGTTCAGTCTTGGGACTGTAACATTGTGCCCTGGAAGCAGTAAGAGAAGGACCACTACTGAGAGCAGTTAATTGTCGGACATGTAGTCCGGGGAGCTAGGTCTTTACATGGAGGCAATGCTGTTGTAAATTACAAGATCCAGTCAACTGAAAGAAGGGGGGATGCTGGGAGAGGACATATACATCCTGGCCCAGGAAAAACTGGCTCTCTTTGGACCACCGTCTGAGGTTGAAAGGAGGGGCCTGGCCGCTTTGGAGAGGTAGAGCAGGCCTTGTGGCTTAGACAGCACAGGGAATCTTCAACAGGTGAGTCATATACCTGCAGGCAGGCCATCCGCTTTCAGTCCACTGCTCGTTGAATGACTGTCTAGTATCACTCCCATCATCCCCATGACAGGCCCAGCTGAAACCCAGCATCGCCAGGTGCACGGTTCAGGTGCCTCTCTCTGGACATAGATTCTCTAAGAGCCTTTTTCCGTCCCTTGAGCCTCGGTATCTTCAGGATTGGTGATTGGGCAGAAGCCCACACTTATTACACTCTTCCTAAAGACACTGCATGCAGACACCTTTACTTCATCTGCTTAGACCATATTGTTTCTAACATGGAACACTTGCCTAGGCAATTCATTATTGCTGGTCATCATTGCACTGCAACCCCTTTGGATCTTGATTGAGCTAGCTGAAGATTTTGGACACATTGCATTGTCAAGACTTTCCTCTCTTTTTTTCCCAATTTCACTTAAATAACTCTGTGCGTCACCTCTGTGTATATTAGGGGGCATTCTCGCTCAGAGATAGTTTACTGCCATTGATATTTTCTTTTGGGCCCGTGCAGGGCTTTTTTTCTCAGAGGAAAGGTGGTGGAACTCCCCCACCCAAACCTGGCCACGCCCCCATCAAACCCTAGGACCACCCCTTTAGAGAACAGGAATGCAAGTAAAATTTGGGAGGGGCTATAAAAGTAAATGTATGGAATTAACACCGCCCCCCCCCCCCCCCACATTAGTAAGAATAGCGAGTAACACTGCCCCCCCCCCACATTAGCAAGAAAAGCGAGAAAAATTGTATCGCCGCTCCTTACCTGATGCTGACGATCCGCGCTATGGTAGGATCGACGAGCAGAGGGCGTGATGACGTCAGCGCGCACCGCCGGGTGTACTAAGATACACCTTTCCTATGGGGGTGGCCGCGCGCCCCCGATGTTTACACGCTGGCGGTAGAGGGGGGGGGGTGAAGCGTGCATGTCCCCGCTCACCGGCTGTGAGCAGCGGCAGTGACAGGTGCCGGGCATATGCACGCGCAAGCATGACATAAACAAGCCGCGTCCGGCACCTGTCACTTTCGCTGCTCTGCATAGCTTGTCAGCTCTGCAGAGGCAGTCGGTGAGCGGGGACAAGAAGAAAAAGGTGGCGGAACGCAGTACCGCCGCGTTCCGGCAGAAAGAAAGCCCTGGGCCCGTGGCATCGGGAGTTTAAGAGAGAGGATTGACATAGGAAAGTCTTCTTTCTTCCTTTTATACTTGGGGTCATGGGTTCTTCAAGGGCCTGCTTGTAGTTGCTGTTTGATTTACCTTCATTGCATATCTGTGCTCCAAATTCTCAAGGATATTTTCTTTAACAATCCTTGTCTTTGTCTGTTGACTTTAGAACTTCTAGCAAATATTCAATTGGTTTGCTACATTTTGGTATCGTTGCAAGTGTGATCCTTTGTGAACCATGTCTGAACCCAGGGTGTCAGAGGTGTTGGAGGACTTGCAAGGTCAGGGCAACCTTTGGGGACCATCATCTTCCAGCTGCCCATACAGGGGTGCTGCTATTGAAACATTGTACTTCTAGGTATGGGTATAATGGGCAAATCACTGACACATACAAGAATTGTTTTACCCTAGCATTCCTCAGTATGGGGGACATACGCATTCTGTTGCAATACTATTATAAGCTCTGAACTTCCAAGTTTGGGAATAATAAGCATACAACTCATGCATGGCACAGAACAATACCTAAGCAACCAGTCTTTTTTTTTTTTTAGGGGAGTGCATACTTATTATTATGAAAATTTTGACCATTAATAAGTCAGTATTTGCCTAGAACTTTGGGCGTGGAGAGTGGTAGCACATGTTAATGGTGTGATCTGGCACCTTTTAGGTTCTTTTTTTTTTTTTTTTGTACAGCAGCGGTTCACCTTAATATCTGTGATTTACAGAAAACATAAAACTGCAAAGATCTTGGATCTGTAGGACTGGAATTGTGCAACACCAAAAAAAAATAAATATGTAAAATGCCTATAATATATCTCATTCAAATAAAGGGAAAACATGGATGTTATTTACTCTTGTACATGGAGAGAAAATGAAGACAGATGTGATCAGTACAACCATCACAGACAGTTGTCAGATGGGTAGTTGCTATTTATTTTTTTAGCAGTTGCCATATACCTTTACTTATCAAGTGCTTGTGCCACTTTTTCTATAATTTGTAGAAAAGAAAAACTGATAGTTACTAGGCAGCAGTGTTGTGTTATTTAATTGCACTATACTTCCTCAATGGTATCAATGGTATAACAAAGCACACGTATCTTTCTCCAAAACAAATGTTAATCTTCGTATATATTACATCCTCAAAAAAACTGTCTGGCTAATGTACTTTTTTCTTTAATTTAAATATGTAATTCAGACATAATGCTAGTTTTCTGTTTCTATCTCCCATGTGTCTTGGAAAAATGTGTTTCTACTTTGCATGAAAGTAAAATAAAGTGTTAATGCTCCATGTTTTGCACCACACAGAATGGCTCAAACCGATCTGGGAACATCTCTTACATCTGAAGACCATGGCTAAACACCTTCTGGCTTGTGTATACCTTTCTATGGTCCTTGTATACATGACAGAACAGAGACACTACCTTGTCCCCTGACTTTAAAGTGGTTCTAAAGGCATCCAATATCAGCTCCCCTCAGAACCCCTCTTAAACACTTACCCCAGTCCCCTGAGTCTCAGAGGGATATACGGTCAATCAAATCCTCTAAGGAGACACCGGGGTAGAGCTGAGACGCGCCGTGTATGTCTAAGGACTCACACAGCCTGGCTCAGGAGTGTATACACACGAGTACCCCCATAGCAGATAGCTCGCTATGGGGGCACTCAGAGAAGAGGAAGATTGGACAGCATCAGGAGGGGACCCTAGAAGAGGAGGTTCAGGGCTGCTCTGTGCAATACCATTGCACCGAGCATGTAAGTAAAATGTGTTTATTATTTTAACAACAAAAAAATTATGCTTTTACAATTGCTTTAACAGTAAAGAAAGACGTGACCAATGTCTTGGCACTGGAACTCTGGAAGTACTAGCTCAGAATATATGTACCATATTAGTGACGAGTGAAATTATTTTAATGACTGACTTCAGGTATTGTACTTCATAAATATCAGAGCAGTCGAGGGAACTGTACACCTCGCGATACAGGAAACTTACTGAAAGATGCAACTAGATCCATAACTATATCCCCATATACGAGGTGTGACAATATAATTCCCGGAATTCCCATGGCGTAGCACTATCATGCAGCCATTTGCATTCAAGCGTGCTCTGATATATTCTAAGTTGCACTTGCCTGGGTTGCAGACCCGTTGACTTAGTCTTTATGGTGTAGTAGATGAAATAATGCTCCTGTGCATTGCACTGTTGGTGAAAAATGATAGATAGGAATCTGGAGCAGTGAATTAACATAATTACATAAGTAACATAAGTTACAACAGGCTTACGGTGAACATAACATGAAGCTATCAAGTGTTTTTGAACGGTATAGGAACTTTAAGGTGGGGTGAGAGGATGTCCACAAGGTCGCTAGAAGTGGGCAGCCAAAAACGCAAAAGCCAGATGCAAATGTGGACAGAGTGCAAACCCTCGTATACTGTGATCAAAGATTGAGTGTGTGAATGATGGCAGAAGAACTGAACATGAACAGGGAAATGAATGGGAATGAGAAAAATGTGTCTCAAATCCTGACAGCAGATCAGAAAGAACGTCTTTTTCAAATTAATTTGATCTTTTGAAAAATGCAAAGGTGTTTGAAAGGGTTATTAGTGGTCTATTACAGACATAGTTGCCAGTACTGTACATGGCCAAGTTCATTTGTGCAGGAATGTGCACAGACGTATTTGTATTTTGCCAACATATGGGTTTGCACACTGGTGCACGTTCACACGCATCTGCTGCCAAAACTGGTGCCAGTTTTCCTATATAAGGACAGTAGCTGTGCTCACAGTTTACTGGATGAT